CACAATACCCCAAGGAGGGGAGAAGCTGGCAGCGCTCTGCTTGAGTAACAATGAGGTATCAGTGTGGTTGAAGTGCAGTGAGTTCGGGCAAGAGCAGGGGGCCCAGCCTGGAAAACATACAGGTGCCAGGTGGGGCTGGCTGGAGTCTTTGTCGGATGATCACTGAGAAGCAGGGGAGGGGCCTGACAGAGCATCCGCTATGGAAGAAGGCCTGGAGGAAGCACCTGGGGACCAACTGGGAGGATGCCAAGAAGAGAGGCAGCTTGGCATGTCCAAGGGCTCTAGAATCTCTGCCTCTCTGTCCTCTACTCCCTAACTCCAGGGATGATCTGAGCAAGTCATTGAAATAAGACATGTCAGCCACTGGATTCAGAATAAATGCTTGATACGCACCTCTCACCTCTGTCACTTAGAAGCAGCTGATTATTACTGACCCAGTAATAATCAGCTGACCCAGACAGCTTTTATTACTGGGGTCAAGTTATAGGCATGAGGAGCCACTAGACTGACTTGTGAACTGTTTTCTCTGGGTCCCTTCAGCATCAGAACCCCCAACCTGGGAAGAGCTGCTTAGGAGAAAAACCCCCAGTCAGTGCTTCACTCCTACAGCAACACTACCACCTCCCCTCCCAAGCTCTCAGGTAGGGAGTCCAGCCTGTGAGTAGCCACGCTCAGCTCCCAAGCAGGTGGGACTCCGGTCTCCTGGGCCCTGGGTATGTCAAAGGGCTTTAGAAAGTGCTCAGGCTTATCCAAACCAGTGGTTTCCAACTGCAGGTAGGTTTGGGGGGAGGTGGAGAGTGTTATGTGTCTCTGGTTGAAAGTATCATTGCTGCATGGATGTGGACCCTAATGCCATCGACACTGGCTATGGGAGCAGCAGCCTTCTTATTAGGTAGGGGAGGTTTAGGTAGCTTACCAGAGGACCCGCTTCATGTAGATGAATGATTTCAATGAGCTCAGAAAAGTCTGAGGCCAGGTCATGGTTTGGTCACCAATAGCAGTTCATCAACTTCCCTGAGCCTGAGGACCTTTGTAAAGATTAAATGTGACAATGCAGATTACACCTAGTTGGCCTCCAGCAGATCACAGGTTCTCACTACACCATGGTTTCCAGGGCTGAGGAGGAATAGTGGTGATGAAACCAGGGCCCATAAGTCCCTTGACTGAGAAGTAAGTGCCAGTCATTTGTGGGAATCTACAATGTCCACATGTGGATCTCAATTAAATGCTGTTGCTGTGTGTGACCAGGTTTATAAGAGCAGGTTCCTCCCTTCGCTGGCTAGCCCCTCACCGGGCACTCTACTAGGAATACCTCGTCAAGATCCCAGCCCCTCAACTGAGACAATGGACAGATGGTTCTGATCTCCATCAGTGTGTGTTGTCACAAAGCAGCACATAAGAAAAAGGTCCTAATCTGATGGGGTTCAGGCTGCCTCCCTTATTTGTTAAGACTCTTTTTGTCATGTTTCAGAAACCTCCTCAAACTAGCTAAAGCCAAAAACAGATATTTAGTGTCTCAGGAAACTTAGAAGATCAAGGCTGTTCCATCCAGCTTCAGGTGTGGCTAGATCCAGCAACTCAAATGTTTCACTTGTTTTCTTTCTGCACAGCTTCTTTCTTTGCCTTGGTTTATGCTCTTCTGCCATAGTATAGCTCCTCCCATTAGAAAGGGGGATGGATTAGGCATGACCTCAGCCCCCCTCCCAAGTCTTCAACCATCTCAGCCAGTAATCCCAACAGTAGGGGAGAGTTCCTCCCTCTTAGTGTACACAATCCCAGGGAAAGGTTCTGATTGGTCCAGTTTGGCTCTTAGCCCACCTTTTTGGACCAATCACTGTGACCAAGGCCAAGCCTAGATTGCATGCCTTCTGCCATGGCTGGGAGTGGGACAGGATGCTATGATGGGCTCCACTAGGACCATATAGACTGGAGGGAGGCAGTTCCCCCAAGGAAAGTAGGAGTGACTCATGAGATGAGTTGAGAAAAGGAATTAGCCACACAAACAAACAGAAGATGGATCTTCCAGGACAGATGGTGGGAGCAAGCTCAGGGATGAGAGAAGAGGACAGCACATGGTCAAGCTTGGCAGAGCAGGGGTCTGATGAGGGGACAACTGAAAGAGGAAGCAGGGAAGGCCATGGCCCCTGGCTAAAGGCTCAATCTACATGAACACAATGGGGAGCCAGGGCGGGATTTCCAGTAAGGTGACGATGCTGATCTGTCTTTCAGAAGGGTGAGGGTGTGGACAGCATCTGGAGGAGAGCAAAACCAAAGACAGACCAGGCAAGGTGCTGTCATCATCTGGTGGGAGTAGACATGAAGGACAGAAGCTATGGGACAGGACCTGGTTCCAGAGCAGTACCAGGAATGGAGTTTACTCTGATGCAGGCTCTATAAAGGCACAGTGAGAGATTTGTGGGCCAGGAGAGGAGGGCTCTGATCCAGAGGACAAAGAGAAATTTGACAGAAGTAAGCTGGAAGGGGTAGACTACCCTGCACAAAGGCCCAGGAGAGGCCCAGCACCAGTGTATGTTTGGGGACAAGCAGACAGTGAAGATGAGTGGAAGCCTAAGTCCACAGGGCAGAACGGTGTTAGCCCAGGCTTGGGCAGGGGACTCGGGGAGATCATGGGAAGTGAGGTAGCTGCCTTTACTTCTGTGTTAGAGCTGCAGCTTTCCACAGGGGGGGAGAGCTCTGGCAGCCAGAGACCTGACCGGGGAGCACAGCAAAGGGCCACGACCTCAAACAGGTGAGAAAGGTTAAAAACTGGAGCGAGAGATGATGAAGTGGAGGAACATCTGCAGAGGTAGAATTGACAGGATTTGAATGTAGACAATGAGAAGAAAGAGTAAATAAGGAAAATGACTTAAAGGGGCCAGGAGTGGTGGCTCATGCCCATAGCTGTAGCCCTTTGGGAGGCTGAGGCAGGAGGATTGCAGGAGCCTAGGAGCTCAAGAACAGCCTGAGCAATATAGCAAGACCTCCTTCTCTATGAAAAAAAGAGAAAAATTAGCCAGGTGTTGTGGTGGGCTCTTACAGTCCTAGCTACTGGGAGGCTGAGGCAGGAGGATCACTTGAGCCTGGGAGTGCTGTGATGACACCACTGCATTCCAGCCCAGGCAACAGAGAAAGGAAGGAAGAGGAGAGGGAGGGAGGGGAAAGAAAGGAAGGAAGGAAGAGAGGAAGGGATGGAAATGACATAAAGGTATGGCTATACAGGGGATGGAGGCTCCACTGACAAAAACACAAAAGTCAAGCAGAAAACACTGCTTAAGAATACAGATGACACTAAGACAAGTCTCCATGTAAGATGGGTGGGGACCTCCCTCTTAGGAGCTTCTTATTTTTACCTATTACCACTCTGGGCCATTCTGGGTGGGACAGATGCCTGGGAGAAACAGAAAAGCAAAAGACGAATATTGTAATAGCTACAGCCCAGTTGACCAGAGGCCTCCTTGGTTGATCTAAACAGATTCTATTTAAGGGACTGAAATACAAGCCCAATATGTCCTCAAAACCTCATGATTCTTGCTGCAGTGAGCCCATGCCCATGCCCATCTGCAAACCAGCCAGGCTGAGGTGCATCCTGGGGGCGGCCTGGGCCAAAGAACAAGACAACCCCCCTGCAGAGGGTGTGGGTCCCACCACCAAGCTTTACTTGGTTTATCTATTTATCACACCCAAGGCGGAGGAGGCTTCTTGCTGTGTTTATTAATAACTATTCCTAACACAAGCTCCCTTGGGGCAGGTGGGGAAGCCAGTCCCAGGGCACAGGCTGGCAAGGTGCCCCGCCTCTGGAGTCACACCTGGTGTCTGAGACAGCCCAGGGGACATGAGCTCTTCCTTTCCCAGCTTCTTCCATGGGAGGTAAACCCCACTATGGCGGCCTCTCCAGGTCTCTGAAGGGGCTCTGGGTTTAGTTTCTGCAGGGGCAGAGGACACAAAGGACGCACCATCGGTCAGAAGACCTCCAAACATCCCAGGTAAGACAGGCCCAGAGGGAGGCAGGAAAAGCCAGCGTCAAGTAGTTGGGACTAGTTGGAGGCAGAGCCCAGCCCAGAATCCTGTTTTCCTGGGGCCTCCTGAGGATGGGGATCTTTTCCCCTGTGCTCTCCGAGTGTTGTCATTGTTATTGTCACCAAGTATGGAAATCGCAGCGTCTAAGACCTTCTTGCACAGTATCGTGGCTCTTCCAGCAGGCAGGGAGCCAGAGTGTGCAGGGACCCAGCCATCTGCACTTAGACTCTGGGTTTAGGGACAGAGCTTTGTTTGCTAGTGGGGTACACGGAGGCACAGTCGTCTGTAGCACACCCCTGGTAATACACGTGCTGCCCACCACCACCACCACCACCGAGGTGGGCGGCCTGGGCAAAGGGACAACTCTTGACCCACCCTGCAGCTGAACAGCGGTTGCAGACACCCAAACCAAAGGCCCAGGCCACAATGCACGCAGCGGCCCTGGAAACACGAGGCTGCCGCCGCTCTGGAAACACCAGGAGACAGGAGAACCGGCAGCCCACGCGCGTGACCCGAGAGGCAGCGAGCGTCCGCCCAGCGAGCCGCGTGGCCAGCCAGGCGCGTCCCGTCGGGGAGTTGAGCGAGGTTTGAACCGCGAGCCAGGGGGCGCGGGCAGATATCCAGGAGCCACCAAACGGACGCCGCGGCGCCGGGCGGACGCACTGACGCCCCTAGGGCCCAGGGAGTCACAGGCTGGGGGACACGCCAGGCAGCGGCGCAGGCTCGGGAGCCTCCCCGGCCGAGGAAGCCAACTCTCGCGGGGCGGGGCGCGGGGGCGGGGCGAAGGGGGCGGGGCAGCCCTCCGTGCCCTCCTCGGGCCCCGCCTCCCGGTCAGCGCCCTTAGCCGCGGGCGCGTTGTTGGTTTCGGGTTGTCAGGCAGCAGCAGCATAGGCTGTGACCAGTGACCAGAGATCTAGAGGCCGTGGGGGTGCGGCTCGGCCATGCCCAGAGTCGTGGCCTGAACCCCTCCACCTGCCGCAAGCATGAAGGACAGCGGGGACTCCAAGGACCAGCAACTCATGGTGAGACCCCTTTAACCTCTTCCTGGCTTCTTCAGTGGGCCCCAGAGGCCAGGCTACCTCAGCCACTCTTTGACAGATAGAGCAGTCCTGTCCCCTGGCTCCCACTCCACTGAGATGATGTGCAAGGGTCGGGCTGGGATTGCCCGGGTCAGCTTTCCACAAGTCCTGGAGTGTCCAGAGGAATCATGGCCATTCTTCCAAGTGAGGCCTGAAAAGTTAGCCCATCTTCAACCCCACACCCCTTTTTAAAGCCTCCCACTGAGGGATCCCATCCCAAAGCTGGTGGAGGTGGGTCTCAGAGCAGGTCTCCCTCTGACCCAGAAAAGCCAGGGTCAGGGCAAGCATGACCTACTTGCCCCTAGAAGGAAGATGAGAGTTGCAGCCCTGGTGAGGTCAGGAGCTTAAAGGGAGTCAGGGGACCGGGACGTTATTGGTAGGAAAGCAAGAGCCCCTCTTCCCCAACAGAGAAGCCAGCATGAGGTGGGGAGTGGCTGGTTATTGGGTTGGAACACAGATACTGTCCAAGTGTCCCAGTCAGGACTCTCAATATTTCAGAGATATGCTGGAAGTAACTGTGATGGCTCCGCAGAGCCCTGGGGTCTGGGATGGATGAGAAGGTGGGAGTCGGGGCTGCAAGGGGAGGTGGAGACTAAAGGTAGAGATTCCTGATCAACAATGGTGGCCAAGCAGAGCCATGAGGAAAGCCTCAGTGACCCCCAAGACCACCACAAGGCTCTGGGGATGGAATGGGGGATGTGTCCATCTCCAAGCCTCTTCCACACCCCTTAACTTCTGAGATCTGGGCATGGGCCTTTATCACCAGCTGGTGGATGGTAACATAACTGGAGGATAATGTTACCCCAAATACCCCCACCTCTGAGGGGCAAGTTCAAGTCTCCCAAGAGGAACCTTGACCCCAGCCCCCAGGCAAGCCCTGGGCTCTAGAAATCCTCCTCGGCAGTTTAAAATGTGTCTTTTCAAAAGGGGTTTTCCCTGACATGTCTGATGTGCTCCCCAGGGCAGGGACAGAAGGGTCTTCCCCTCCTGCCAGTGGAATTTGATGAGGAACCCAACAAAGATGACCTGACAGGCAGTGGAGGATCCTATGAAAGTGAAATGTCCTTACCTGTCCTGAGGGCCTGTTCATTCTATTCACACACCCAGCAAGTGTTTCCCTTTGATTAGCAGAAGACATGCTCCTCCCCTCCACCCATTCTTTGGAGTGACCCATGTATGGAATGAAGACCTACCATTTCTCACTGGCTGGGGAACAAACAGAGAAAAGGCCCTGGGTGACACTTTCCTTGGGGTAAGAATGTGGTCACAGGTTGCTAGGATGTTGAGGGCAGTTCCCTATGCTGTCCCACCTGGCAGGCCCCATCCCACAGCCTGCCCTGCCTACACCTTCAGTTGCAACATCATTCACGGATGCACAGATAAGCTGCTCCAGTGACAAAGGCTCCAAGTTCAAGCCCAGGGGAGCTGTAAGTGCTTCATTTGGGCTCAAGGCTCATGCAGCCTGGAGGAGCAGACAGCTCTCTCCCTGGGGCTCTCTCTGAGGCTCCAGGCTCCTGAGAAAATTCATAGACTCAGACACAGATTGACACCCTGTGGACCTGCTGCCTTCTGACCTAGGATGAAGGAAGCCTGGGATGGCTGGACACTAGAGAACTGAGGGGCTTTCCTAGGGGAGGAATCCTGAGGTCTCCTCATTCTTCTCTCTGAGGCTTGGCTCAGCCCTACAGGGTATGGTCTTCACTTTCAGGTGGCGCTCCGGGTCCGGCCCATCAGCGTGGCAGAGCTGGAGGAAGGAGCCACCCTCATTGCCCATAAAGTGGATGAGCAGGTATGCAGGACCGCGGCTGAAGCTGCAGAGCAGAGGTCTGCTCAGAGCGCTTAGCTTACCTGGCAGGGACAGGGACTACCTGGCTTACAGTACCATCCTTCCTCTACTTGCTGACCTCTTGGCTATGCCATTGACAACATCATCAAGGAAACTAAAGGCTCTTCTCCCAGGAAGCCTTCCATGTAGGAGGATTCAAGCAGAGCAAAGGGCTTTTGTAGCCAACGTTTCGTATGCCCTTTCTGCCTTCCCATAGAGCATGTATTTATGTGGTCTAGCACTAATACCCACTCCAGAGTGTTTATACTTGGCAAAGTCCTTGGGCTGTCTGTTTACAATCTTGGTCTTCTTGTCACTATGATGAGGGATGTAAGGCACACGAGGCAATAAATATTTATCAAGTACTCACTATACTCTGAGGATCATGCTAGAAGCTGGGAAACTATGGTGAACAGAGAAGACCCTGTCCTCCCTCCATTACCTTATAGTCTTTTATTTATTTGTTTGTTTCTGTATTTATTTGTTTGTTTATTTTTAAGCCAGAGTCTTACTCTGTGCTCTAGTTAGAGTGGCATGGCATCATAGTTCACAACAACCTCAAATTTTTAGGCTTGAGCAATCCTCTTGCTTCAGCCTCTCAAATAGTACAGGCACCCACCACCATGCCTAGCTCATTTTTCCAAGAGATAGGGCTTTGCCCTTGTTCAGGTTGGTCTTTAACTCCTAAGGTCAAACAATCCACCTGCCTTGGCCTCCCAGAGTGCTAGGATTACAGGCGTGAGCCACCATGCATGGCCTTATAGACTAGTGCAGTCGTCAAAGAATTGTGGCCTGGCACGGTGGCTCACATCTGTAATCTCAGCACTTTAGGAGGCTGAGAAGATTGTTTGAGATCAGGAGTTTGAGACCAGCCTGGGCCACATAATAGCGAGACCCACTCTTTACAAAAGAAATTTTTTAAATTAGCCAAGCATGGTAGCAGACACTTATAATCCCATCTACTCAGAAGACTGAGGCTGGAAGATCCTTTGAGCCCAGGAGTTTAAGGCTACAGTGAGGTAAGATCATGCCAATGTACTCTAGCCTGGGTGACAGAGCAGGACCTTATCTATCAATCAGTAGCACTGAATCACAAACATGTGTGAGTTTGCAGCTAACAAGAGCTGCAAAGAAATGAGTAGTGCTGAGAGAGTAAGAGGGGAACTTGAGCTAGGCCCGGTGGACAGGGGGCTCC